GGGCGGCTGATCCGCGAGCCCACAACTTGGTGTTAGGCCCCGGCGGCGGGTAACGGGGCCACGAGGGGAACCAAAAAAAAAAAAAAAGATTCCGCAGCCCGGCCGCGCTCCGGCTGGGGAAGAGCCCGGCCCCACCAGCCCCGGCCGCCGGCGCACCCGGGGCTGCAGGGGCGCCTGCAGCCCACCCTCCGGGCAGCCCCGGGAGCGTGGCCTCGGCCCTGAGGGCCCGGCGCACGCAGCCCCCGGCCCAGACCCAGCCCGCGGGCGGCCGGCGTCGGACCCGAGGGCTCGGGAAGGCGCCGCCCGGCCCCTCGGCTCCCGGGCCCGGAGCGCCGCGCGCCCGCCCGCCTGCCGAGAGCCGCAGGCCCGCCGGGGCGGCGCGGGGAAGCGGGACAGGAGTGAGGACTGGGAGCCTGGCTGGACTGTGCGCGGGGCCGCTCGCGGGGCAGCGGGCGTGGGGGCGCAGGCGGAGCCCGGGAGCTCTCCCGAAATGACCCCGGCCCACAGCCTGGAGAACTATTACAATAATAACGGGGACTCGTCTTTGCCGTGATGAAAGTTCCTGGGGTTTGGTTTGGTTTGTTTTTTTTCATTGAAGCTCTAAAGACAGGGCCACTGGAGGCTTTCTGTGCGAAAGTGCCGTTTCAAATGTAGGCCCCCCCAAGAATTGCCCAGTGTGGTCTGTTGGCGTCTTTCTTGAGCTGACTTTCAAATGGAGCCGGGCATTAACTCCACCGTCACCTGGTCAGGGGCTCCAGCAAGCTTTAGATGCCTTCTCCTGTAGTAGGAGGTTGATGCAAGTTCAGATTTCTAATTCAGAGAGGAAACACCCACCTGCAGGCAGGTTGCTAGTGGGCGAAGGATTAGGTTTAAAAGAAGGTCTGGAATTAATTGTGCCCTGGGTTTAGGCCTCCGGGAAATTACAAAAGGTTCAAGGGACGGTTGAATGGGGGAAAAGCCAGGACTGCTTTCAGGAAGGAATTTTTATCCCTTCATTTACCTATGCAACTTCAAGCTCTAGCAGGTCTGCACTATCAGAGATTTCCTTGGTTGTTTTTTTGTTTTGTTTTTTCATCTATTCAAGCTGCTGGGACTTCCAGCGTTAGCTACAAAAATTTTTTTTTTCCTTTTTTCTTTCCCCCCTAAGCATAAAAAGTCAAGGGGCATGCCAGCAAATCTTGCATGTAATGTTGCAAGTGGTGGAAGGAGCTGAGGAACAGTGTGGAGTTCTGAGAGGAGGAAAGGGGGTGGGGGCGGGGTGGGGAAAGTCACCTTTCATTCCCGTCTAAAAACCAGTGGCATGTTTTCCTCAGAGAAAAATCTTTGAAGTGAAGCAGAACTGAAAAAGTTTTCCTTGCAACTTATGTTCTAAATAAATTATACTTTATTATTTAAGAAATCCCAGGTTTTAGAAATAGTACTGTGGGCCACTGCTTCAGTTAGGTAGGCTTGGAGATTCCACGAGGAATTTTTACTGGACACTTCTGTACCTCACGCCTTCAAATATCAAGTCAGGACTGAGTTTCCAAACAGGGCTTAATGTTCTATGAAAAAAGAAAAAACAACCTGCCCCTACTGCTAGAAGCAGACCCTCTTCTGCTAACTCTTCATGCATAGTTTTGATGAGGTGTGAGAGCATAGAATGTTAAAACTTACCCCTTTGTAACTGACAGGGACAAAGTTGTGTTTTTATCAATAAAATAAGCTGATATAATTTATAGGGATATACAGGAAGCAGATGCCTACCTTGGCAAGTTGCCATTTTTATAGCTCTGTTCCAGCATAAACTACACTTTTAAATAATTAGTTACTAACTAATGAGATCCAAAAATAAGTTGTCAAAATAGAAGAAGGGGGTAGATTCTTGAGTGACCAAGGGCCCATTTAAAAAAAAAATCCATTTCGAACAGAGAGAGGGGGTAGAAATTGGTATTCTCTAAGACCATTAATTAGTGCAATTTCAGTCAGTGCCTGGGGCTTTACCTCTTCTCACGTGAACCTCTCTCTCTGGTGATGAGTATTTGGAGGGTTTATTGCTTTGTTAAAACGAAGTCCTTTGCTTGGGGGAAAAACCAACAACTCCACAGCCCCAAGTTTGTCAAGGAACTTTGGTGACTTGTCACCTCACTACTGTTAATTAGCTCCCTCTGCTAATGGACAGACTTACTTCTTAGCCAGGAAGGAATCCTATCCCTTCATTTTTTTTTTTTTTCTGGTCCCTTGGCTTGATTCCATGTGCAGTTTTAACTTAGCAAACTCCATCCAAATTTGACCAATAAAACCGTAAGTGGGTTTTGAGGGAAACAATTATAGTAAATGCCTGTTTATCCAAAATGGTTGCGAATGGAGTGTTTTGATGAAATATTCCTGTTGAAAACGATTAGTTTTTGTATAATTCGTCAGTTTTCGAAGAAACACTGGATATAAAAGAAAAGATATGTAGCGGAATCAATGGTGATTAAGATTGAAGACACTGCAGGATTGTCCGGGTCACCAGGTCATCTCAGGATCGTTTATTTACTCGGTAAACATTCTTATGGGTTTGAGGTGCTAGGAAGAGAGCCATGGTGCTTGTCTTCATGGAGCTTAGGATCTGGAGGGGAAGCTGGCCATGAAGCCATTCAGTAAAGATTCTGGAAGATGACTTCATTATTGTGATGGGCGTTGGGAAAGGCTCATGGTAGGCTGTTGAAATTCAGTAGTCTGGGCTGCCACCCATTCATTTCTTCATCCAGCTGGCAAAAACTTCAACGGGTACCCGTTGCACTGGGCACATAGCAGTGAACAGAAATGTGTGGAACAGTTGTCTGCAAGCTTTGCTGAGCCTAATGCTTACCAGTGCTGGCTAAAATAAAGTTTCCAGGTGCTACCTCCGAGACGTCAGGGATTGGAACTGGGAATTCGAATGTCTTGCAAGCACTGTAGCAAGGCTGTTACTGGCTCTTGTCCGACCTTGAGAATCAGTGCTCTGGATTGGGTTGAACTCTTCTTGTGGCATGCTTTAAAGATATTTACATCAGTTTGGGCGGAGCATACAGGTTCTCGATCTGTATTCATGGAAGAGCTTGGAGGGCCTGGGATCCCTTGGAAATCAAATGTACACTCTTTGGTGTGTGTTGAAGGGTTTTTTTCTGGGGAGAGGATCCATAATTTCTAACATCTTAAAGAGGACTGTACCCACCTTCCCCCAAGGTTAAGTCCCAAATCCCAAGGTGTGATTCCGTCATGTGACAGGTGAGAGAACTGAAACATGGGGTAACTCCAGGGGACACCATTCAGGTAGCAGCCTCTAAACAGGCTGTGGCCTCTGGACCAGCGCCTGGCCTCAGCCCAGTGAAAGGAGGATCAGCAGCTCCTTTACTGTGGTACTTTGTTAGCGCTCTTTGACAGATGTTTCTGAATTTGGAGTGGATCTCACAATTGATATGCAAATTTAACTCAGTGCTGCTTTTTTTCTTTTTTTATTCTAGAAAAGCTGTTCTTAAGTAACTTGTGTGTTTTACAATGAATGACAGTGGATAATCAAGGCAAAGAAATGGGGGTTAGCAGAAGAGGTGGTGCTACCCTGCCCTGCAGCCTCTGGATCTTAAGCTTTTCTAGTTACTTGAATTCCAGACCAAGGGGAGAATTTCTCATACAATAAAGAAAGACTTTGCAATTCCCTTGCAAGTTTGAGTTAAGGATGACTAAAAAGATTTCATCTGGTATTTTAACCCTTTTAGTCGGTTAAGCAGTTGCTTATTTTATTTCACTAATCGTTGTTTGGATTGAACATGGTGGCGTCTGCTAATGCCCACCATGAGTGTTGCAATCTAGACAGCTTGAGGAAAACATGCTGGAGAGGACACTTTTCATCTTGCACTCTTTGTAGGTGCAACTCATGACTGCAAAAAACAAACAAACAAACAAGCAACAACAAAAACAAGAACCGAAGAGAGGAGTCAGGGCACTTGCCTGTAGCTGGGTTTTCGTATTTCTTAAGCAGTCCCAGTGTTTGCTGTCAGCAATCTTTTGACTTTTCTTTGTGGGATCCAGAGCATGTTGTTCTGTTGCCTTTGTTGGTTTTAAAAATGTAGCACAAATGAATTGAAATGTTCTCATGTCTTAAGAAAGCCTAAAGAGTGTGGTTTACCTCAGTGAATTAGGATGAAGGGGCGTTTTGCAATTCAGATATATCAGGTCAGCAGACATCAGGAGCTTCTTTGCCCACATCACGCTCTGCTTCCAAGAGTGGAGCTGGGCTTGGGCTTGAGAAATGGCCATGCCCTTTGAAACACCTAATTAATACTTAAAAACCTTCCCCTTTTTGGAAAGTTGTCGCAATGCCCCTCCCTATAAATTTGGCCTCCTGAAGAGACATTTGTAGATGTGGCTTACAAAAGTAATGCGACCCTTGGGTTTCACACCATAAACACAGCTGAAAATTGAGATCTTCAGACCGCTTTATAACAAATGCCCAGTAGGAATTTGGGAAAAGTCTCACATTATGGATACTTCCCTGCCTTCTCCTTTTGCATGTGTCGGACAGAACTTGACTGGCTTGTTATTACAACTTGGAGGTATTTTTGCCAGAAAACTTGTGGGCAAGGGTCTTCCAGATTTTGAACTGCTTAAATAAAGCTCTAGGCCCCTCAGGCCACAGGTGAAGCGCGCTTTTAAGTGAGATTTTTTTTTCTCTTTGGCCCACTCTTCCTGAAAGTTGATTGCGCTGTTGTTTTGTTTTAGGCATTCCTGGTAGCAGAGAGCTGAAGTAATGAGAAGGCATCATGGAGGCCCAGTCCCACAGCTCCACGACCACTGAGAAGAAGAAAGTGGAGAATTCCATAGTGAAATGCTCCTCGCGAGATGTCAGCGAGAAAGCCGTGGCCTCCAGCACCACTTCCAATGGTGAGCAGCCGTGGGGATCACCAGCAGCCGAGCCTAGAGTCATTTCTGTGTTCTCTGCCTTCCTTGTCCATTGAACATTTGCACCTGGACCAGGGTTTGTTCCTTTAGAGGCTAAAGAAAGCAAAAGGGGGGGGGGGGCTGCGGGATGGGCAGGTTTCAGTGAGCTCTATTTTGGCACCAAAACTACATGTTTTCTTCCAAATTTTCTAATTTGAGATGTAAATGTGATAGGTTATTTATTATAGGAAGTTCCTGTTGTGGCATTTTGGAAATCATCTTGATTAGTCTGGCAGGAGTTCAAAATACTTTGCATTTCACATGGAAAGTCTACACTAGTTGGAATAATTAGTTATTAGTTATTACAAAAGACACAAAAGTTGCCTTGTCAAGATTTGGTGAGAGGATCCCTGCCTCCCCCACCAACTCTGTGCAGTTCATTCGAATGGATTTTAAAAGTTGTTAATGGTTGGACCTCAAGGTAACACTGGTATCTGAGATGCAGGTTTTGCTGTTGGCTTATAAAAATGGACTGAATTGTGCTCACAGATAACACCTAGCTGCTGTTTCTGGGTACTATATATATATATATATATATATATATATATATTTAAATATTTTAAGCACAACGTCGAGAGGCATTTCAATTCAAACGGAGCATTGCAAACAAATTCCAGAGTCCTCCTCTGGAAAAAAACAGACTGAACAGGTTAATAGTGACCGCTTCCTTTTCCCTCTTTTCTACTGTCCTAGGCCAGTAGGTGCCTTTGCTTTTTGTAGATTTCATAGCCTCCCCAGCCTCCCCCCATCACCCTCCACTTTTCCATGTGCCCTTGAGAAGAATGAGCTGGTCTTTTCTCCAGCCTTTCAGGCACTGCACATCTGGGCACACTGATTTGCATGAGCCAACCTGCTCCCTCCCTCCCTCCCTATAGGCTTTTATTTTATTTATTCCAAGAAAGACTTTACTAGGTTGACTTTATTTATTTATTTTTTTTTACATACAATTGCAGAGTCAGAATCTACTTTGGAAGGTAACTGCACCTTCCTTTCCTGACTGTGGCCTTGTCCAAGCTGACACCGAGGAGCCTGGCCCCTGTTCCCTGTACCCATCCCTGTCCAAGGCTCCCCTTCCTGGATGTCACCAGTGTGCGTTGCTGGCTTGGCTGGGCCACGGGAGGGGCTGGTGTTAAATCTGCTGCTAATGAGTCCAGTTTTGAATTGATCCTCAGGGACATATCCTTATGTCCGAGTTAAAATAATGACTTTACATACATGTGGAAATTTGTCCCTATTTCTCCCTTTATTTGTGGTATTTAAAGTCCGGACTGGATCTTATTTTAATGGAGCTGGATAGTTGTGTTATTCTTCCAGTGTGGTTAAAGAAGCCCTGTTTTTGCCTTTTAAAACAAACATTTTGCCTTTTAAAACATTGTTTCTTTTTTTTCCTGGAATTTGTAAAAATTAGGCAAATTTCTTATTCCAGAAATACAATCAGTACATGCAGGGTAGGTTGTTTGATAATTTTTAATAGTGATGTTGTAGGAATGAGCACTTTCTGGGTATTATGCTTCGCGAAACATCAACTTTTGGTTATCTACGTCTTGTGTGTGCATGAGCGGGTGTGAGGGTGTGCGGAAGTGTGTGGGCATGTGCGAGCATGAGTGTATAGGAGTGTGCACGTGGGTGTGAGCGCAGGTAAGAACGAGTGTCAGTTGGCTGCCCGTGTGGACCCTCTGGAAGGCACTGTCCTTTTGGAATTTTAGCAGCCTCTGCTCCAGAGGTCGGTCTGTCCCCTTGAAGGTGCTGCCACTCCTGCTTCTCCCACACATGCTTTGGGAGGATTTTGGTGCCCGCTGAGTTTGTCTAGAGCCACACTGACCATGAGGTCCTCTCATGAACCTGGTTAGGGGGACTCAGAACAGAACCAACCTAACCAGCCCCGTGGGAGCCAAGCAGTCCCTCGAGAACATTACCAGAGAAGGAGCAGTTATGATTCACGAAGTTGGTCCTGTCGTCTGAAGTAATCACGGATCCTGAACCAAACTCCCCTAGCTTTTGGCCCCGATCAGCCTGTGTCCTTGAAACACAGGTGGCCTCCTGAGCGTAAAACCTGTCCTGTTTGGGGCAAATGCTCATGAGGTTTGCAGGGCACGTGCCTGAAGGAGAGCTGTCCTGCTAACCCGGGCAGCCCTATGTTCCCAGTGTTGCTGTTTCTCCTAAGGGCTTTATTAAATGTTTATTTTAGGATAATATAAAGACCCCACCAAGTAAAAGAGAAATGGAAGTGGTGGTTTTATGCATGGATTGCAGTTCTCCTGGAAGATTCCAGGAAAACCGGAAAACAAATTTAAAGACAAGAACAAAAACCTTTTGGTTCGTGATTGCTCTGTGTGAGCAATGCTAATAATTGTACCAGGGTCCTTTGCGGATTTTCCTAACTAGTTCAGAGCCTCTTTGTAGCCCCAGGATCCTGCTCCAGGGCCCGGAATGACCCAGCCTCTTTTTTGTTCTGCAGACTCCTACCTGGTCTCCCGCTTCCCTCCACACTTGGCTGGGGTCATCAAGCTCAGTGGCGGCGGGGGTGGGGGGTTCGGGTTCGGTTTGGGTTTTCCTGCACATGGGGGGCTGCTGGTGTGCTGGGTATTGCTGGCAGGTGGCTGTCATGGCCTTGATCATCGGTTCTTTTGTCTGCCCTGTCTCCTGTTCTCTCTTTTCTCTTTCCAAACATTTCAGCTGTGCCTGGATACCTGCACTGAAGCTGTTCACACAAGGCACATTAAGATCATGTCCATCCTATTGTAGCTAGTACTAATTGCTGCTATGTCCAGGGGTGTTCTTGGGCTTTCTTTACAAAGCTCTGAAATTCAGGGATTTGTCCATGAACAGCTAAAGATGAGTTTAGCCTCAAGAACCAAATGGATGTAATACATGCATTTCTCACCCTTCCTGTCCACAGTCTCATGATTAAAATCAAACAAAACAAGCAAACAAAAAAGTTTTGTTATTGGTACTGTGTTAGGTTGACTTAATTAACTTTTCCAGCCATTATATGCTACGATTTGTTCCCGATTGTGAACCTTCTAGCCAAACCACGCACATTCCACTGCATGTCCTTACACATCTGTTTTCTTAGTTTTCTCAGCTGAGTATCTAGTCCTAGAATAACATTCATACAGTTTTGTTTAAACACACACATTCACACAACCCAAATGTATGGTTCAAAACCTGAACAGCCTTCTAAATAAGCATTTGACTCTTAACACTGAAATTTAAAATGACACACACAAGCGAAAAGCTGTTCTGAGTCTTGTATTGGGAACAGAGACAAGCCACGTTTGATTTTTGTAACATTGAAGAGCATTTAGTATTCTTACCCAGGAACTACAATGTATGTGTTTCATGTGTTTGATTTTAAGCTCTAATGTTATTTAGTAAACGTAAATGACAGAAGAAAAGACTTTTAGTTCTCTGAGTTTTTGTTAAGTGCAATTGTGAGTGAAGGATTATTTTTGGCATCCAATATATTTCACATATACAGTGAGCGCCCACATATTAGGTGCCATTGTTTACTTAAAAACCACCAAATGTGTTAATATGCTAGCACTGCAAGTAAAATTCCTTAATAATCTGTTTGTTGCTGTTACAGATTCATTGCTTTCAAAGCTGCACGTTCTGTTTTGTAAATAGTAAATGGTTTTTAAATCCAGATATTCCAGCGTTTTAAACACTATCCTTATCCTGTAACATTTTCTTCCATGATTTGCAATAACTGACTTTTCAATTTGAAGTGTTTTATGTCATTTTTGGCCTATGATTTTCTTTGAAAAGAGTAATCTGATCTTTCTTATTAACTTACTATTCTGCTTTAAAAACAAGAAAGGCCCTAATAATGAACGTATGTAGGCCGTGGTCTTGGAGGTCTTTTATTGGCTCTGATGGTTATTGGGAACATACCTTAAGTGATAGAAAGCAGAAATTATTATCCTAATGGTGATGCAATGTGAAACCAGAGTTGATGGATTAATAATGGAGAGGAAGTTCCGTGTTCACTTTGTTTCTTTCAAGAGGAAGGACTTGGTTCTCCTCTGCTTAAAAAAGACTCTTAAAGGTTTGTAAGGGGAGAGTGTTATGGTCTGCAAATATGTAAGGAGATACTTTTTTTTTTTTTTTTTTTACTTTGACCTTTGGTTATTTCCTGGCCCTGGGATTTTCTTTCGAACTGTCCGGTAACATCTATCAGTGTATCGTGATAGCAATTGGTCTCCTGACTGGGAGTAAGGTGGCTCAGAGTTTTCTTGGGAATTTGGAATTCATTGGCTCTTCTCCACCATGAGCTCTTGTCTCCTTGACTTTTTTTTTTTTTTAATGGTAAGTGAGGATGTACTTAATTCTGCTCAGAAGTGGGTGAGTAGTTTGTACCCTGTAGACTGTGAGTTTCAGTTTTCTTGTGCCTTTAGATGTTCAACACCCCCTTTTTTTTTCTTGGCCACATTTTGTTTCCTGGCACATGACAGATGGATGGGAAGGGCTGTCAGATAAAATGGATTCCAAATTATAGGATGTTGGTTAGGAGAACCCACAGGTTTGGGGATGTGAAGGCTCGGACTGAGTTCTGCACCAGGTCTGGACTGGCTGTGGGAGTGCGGGCAAATTAACTTCTCAAAGTCTCAGTTTCCTCATCTTTTTAGCAAGAAAGTAATGAGACCCACTTCACAGGATCTTTAGGGGATTAAGTGAGGCAGTGTCTGTAGCCTTCTGTCGGAAGAGCTTAGCAGATGTCAGCCAGTGTTCTTGGACAGAGCATGTGGATGAGTTAAATGTTATGAATCCAAAACAAAAGGATTGTGTTTTCTTAAAAATACACATAGGTTTTGAAATTAAGGGAAAAATGTTTGGAAAAAGTAATTTTGAATCTGCTGGACTCTTGAAAAATAGTTCAAGATGTTTCACAAATCCTGAATGTGACCAAGTTGCACATCTTAAGGAAGGATGGATAGCAA